CTCTGTTAAGGCATAATTTTAGAAAAAAATATCTGTTTTTTTTTTTATAAATATTAATTTTCCCAACATTTTTTAATGAAGTTAAAGTAATGTGTTCTGTTTATCAACTCCTGTACGAAGGAATTTATCCATTATTTGTTGACGGAAGGTTACTTGTTTAACGAGATAATAAAAACACTTTGGTGGTTGTGTGTTTATCACCTTGATCTCCAACTGTCGGTGTACCTGAACTAAACACGGTGTTGATAATCATTGTGTACTGAGCTTGTTTTTCATTACTGTGAATTCATTATTTTCGTGTTGTAACCCCTCAAATTGAGGGTTTTTAACAGACATATAACTGTTTGGGTTATTAACCACTTAATTAGCTTTAAAGAAAATCTCCTAAAACTTCCTAAAAATATAATTTTTTTTCATCTGTATTTTTCATTGGATTACACAAGAAAAAAAGTTGAACTTATTGAAGTTTGTTTTTTGGTGGAGACCTTATTGAAATATCTGATGATGACAAAACCTTGTTGAAACATTGTACGTTTGCTGTTATGTTAAACTTATTGAAGTTTGTTTTTTGGTGGAGACCTTATTGAAATACCTGATGATGATAAAACCTTGTCGAAACATTGTACGTTTGCTGTTATGTTAAACTTATTGAAGTTTGTTTTTTGGTGGAGACCTTATTGAAGTTTGTTTTTTTGGATTTAGTCATTTTAGCTCTTACACAAGCTCAAACATTTAATGTAGCTGAAAAACAGTTGACACTAAATGCACGAGAAAATGAACAGCTCTACATCATAAAACAGAATAAAGGGCAATATCTTGATAAAATCATAGTTGTCATTTACCAATAGTTTGTCTATATATATGTAACATTTCTAAATGATCCTACAGCTTTCAAAAATCTACAGAATGACATTTCCAAGGAAGGAATCAAGTTATTCGAGCACGTACTTAGCATAGGGGCCAACAATTTATCTGGAGAGGGAGGCAAGAAACGGAAGAATCTGGGAGACCCTAATGCCGAAGAGAGCGACGAAGAAGACAGTAGTCTTGCACCACCAGTCAAAGACATCTATCGCAGCCGACAACAGAAAAGGGTGAAAGAAAATAGCACTATTGGATGAGTGTGAAGAAAAAGAGCATTTTGTACAGGATATTTGTCTCTTTCTCTCTCTCTGCAACAATTTTTTCGCCGTGAATTGATTTTGATCGGACCTTACACCTTTCACAGTGTAGTTTTATAGTCCATCTTTTTTTTCTTCTCATTTTAATGTAAATAAAAGTTGACTGCGCGTAGTAAGAAGCTCCTAATCTCTGTTAAATTAATTAATCGATTACAGTTTAATCTACATATCCATACACTCTAGCAAACAAACGTATTCAGATGCAGACTCACACGAACACTTATTCGTTAAAGCAGGTGCTACCAGGAAGGGAAGTTTAATTCCAGAAGTGTTTTATGTATTTGTAAGATCAGTGTATACGGCCTTTATTTTAGCTACAGCCAGCCTAGACGACTTACGTTCTTGCTTGTGTTCAGTTAACAAAAAATCGTGAAAGTAAAATGTGAAACTAATATAACAGTTGCGTAGACAGTTTTTTTGAACTTTCGAAACAGGAATTTTTCACGCACTGTCAATACAGTTCTTGTTTTAATTACTTCAGCTTTTAGTGATTGGAAAATGTGTTGGGGGAAAAAAAAAGACTGTAGATAAAACTGTTCCTTTTTTTTCTCACATTTTTAGCTTAAATGTTATTTCTGGTTGTTATCCACCATTTTGTTTCGATGCTCTCTGTATGATTTGTCTGAAAGAATGTGTGATATGTTAGTTATGTATGGTTTACCGCAGTCTAGTGTTTTTGTACTTTGTATGTATTAAAAACCAAAAAAAAACCAATTGATAATTGTAAGACACTGCCACATTAGTTCCATACATCTTGTTCATGCCCTAGATCACTGTACAGAGTTATCTGATATAACAGTCGAAGGTGTGGTATATTGTACGGCCTTTATTCGAAGCTGGTACAGAGTTATCTGATATAAAACAGTCGAAGGTGTGGTATATTGTACAGCCTTTATTCAAAGCTGGTACAGAGTTATCTGATATAGCACAGTCGAAGGTGTGGTATATTGTACGGCCTTTATTCAAAGCTGGTACAGAGTTATCTGATATAGCACAGTCGAAGGTGTGGTATATTGTACGGCCTTTATTCGAAGCTGGCCCTTGCCTAAGTATGGGTAGTTCCTGCCATCGTTAGGGTTTTATTTGTGCAAGAAAGTACTGTAATCAGTCACGAAACGAACAGATTTATAGTCTCGCACAGAACATGCTATGAGATGTTTAGGTTTAACAGTTTGTGTAAACACTGCTCACTCAAACATTATCGGTAGTACATAAAGTTCAACCAGTTTAATTTAGTAATCTTTTACTGACAATAAACTATATTATATTCAGTGTGTTCATGCAGTAGGTTTGAGAATACATACATATTTAAATTTTAAGTTTCTTGTGATCTAACGTTTAAAAATTACCTCGTCAGGGTTAAGGTGAATGAATATCATGTATATACATAAACGTTTCGTAGCTATTAAAAAGCTCGTAAAGTTCGACTCATTTGGAAGATAGAACCATAAATTTTTTTTTTTGATTTGATTTAGTTTCAGAAAAGAATTTGTCGGGACCTTATTTTTTCTTTTTTATGTTTTTTAAGAACTTAAAGAAGACAACTGTTTTCCAGATAGGAAGCTGGTGGATGTTTTTACAAAAAATGTAGTCAGTAATTATTGAATTCTAGGTCACTGTATGCATTTCCTTGTGTTAAAAAAAAAACATCTTGTATTCACTCCAAAGGAAAGTAAAGTGTGAAATTTTTTACTCAAAAGCTTTTGTAGTTTTGTTTTTTACACAAGACACTGCTTCCCTTATTTCATATTATAAACTGTTCTTTTATTATCAGAATCTGAGGATCTACTAATCACTGATTCATATGGACAACACTCAACACTACAATGATTAATACAACAGTATCAACTATTCATATGACAACACTGCAATGTTTAATACAATATCAACTATTCATATGACAACACTGCAATGTTTAATACAACAATATCAACTATTCATATGACAACACTGCAATGTTTAATACAACAATATCAACTATTCATATAGTGTTGAGTGTTGTCACAATGTTTAATACAATATCAACTATTCATATGACAACACTGCAATGTTTAATACAACAATATCAACTATTCATATGACAACACTGCAATGTTTAATACAACAATATCAACTATTCATACAGTGTTGTCGTATGAATAGTTGATATTGTTGTATTAAACATTGAGTGTTGAGTGTTGTCCAGCAATGTTTAATACAACAATATCAACTATTCATACGACAACACTACAATGTTTAATACAATATCAACTATTCATATGACAACACTGCAATGTTTAATACAACAATATCAACTATTCATATGACAACACTGCAATGTTTAATACAATATCAACTATTCATATGACAACACTGCAATGTTTAATACAACAATATCAACTATTCATATGACAACACTGCAATGTTTAATACAATATCAACTATTCATATGACAACACTGCAATGTTTAATACAACAATATCAAC